CTTTGTTCCTATCTTCCTGTGTGATTTGATCTGTATTTGATTTTGAACATTTATATATAATATATATATATATATATATATATATATATATATATATATAAACCCCAAAGAAGAATCTGCAATGTTATTGGTCTTGACCTGGAAATCTCAGCTTTGGTTACTTTCGCACCACCGTTCGCGATGCCTTTTTATTAAGATTTTCTTAGTAATTGTTCTAATCAGACTATGAATTTCACACGATCGTAATGAAGCTTCCCTGTAACTTTTCTATAAAGATTTTCATGATAATTGTTCTGATGAGCTTTCCTAGAATCTAAATGCAGCAAAGTCTCATCATTTTATAGCTGAAAGGTCTAGATGTAACCGTAAGTTCTATGCTAACAGTTTCTTTTCTCGCAATTCTTTCTTGTCAAACTCTCTTAAATGTTTCTTGTTTTCCAGTCAAGTTTTTCTTTAAAGTTTCAATGAATTGTCAATCGTTATCTTCTTTTCTTAAAATTCCTTTTTTTATTGTTCCCTCTTCTTAATAATGGTCAGCACTAGGTAGGCCATTGAATTTTAGTAGCCGTATTGACTTGCTTTGGGTGAAATGATCTAAAAGAGAATGAGGTGGTCTTTCATACCCAGATCATATCTTGAAACCATAGACTATATATATATATATATATACTATTGGAGTCTCCCGTCGATTTCAAGCAACTCAGTTACTAGAAACCGACAACCAGACCACCCGCACAAATCATTTTGATTAGAGAGGTGAAGGCTTTGCGCAGACCCAACCACACTTTTTTTGAATATAATATATATATATATATATATATATATATATATATATATATATATATATATATATAAAGTTTCGGGAGAAAACTGTCCAACATTTGGATATATTTTATTATGTATTTCATCGAACTAAAGCTTTCGGCTCAAAACTAAAGCCACTATACGAAGCTTAGAACGGCTCATGGTCAAACATAATAGATATTCGTTGTCTGATATATTTAACAATATATTTTTGAATGATGTTCTACTGTCTCTATATACTAAATAGATAGGTAGCCTCAAGAATTTTTAATTAATGTTTATTATGTTCATGAAAAATTATAGATGTAATTTCAACAAAATTTTTCTAAATTTCGAATGTGGACAGGCATGCTATTGTAAATGTTGCGATATGAAAACTCTACCAATCTATATTAAAAATTAAAACCAACTCTTAATAAAACTAATTATGAATACTGCAAAAATGTTTTAAAATGTTTACAGTAGTTAATTTAAAGTATCTAGGTTTTAACTAATATTTTTTTTTGTTTTTTAAAGATATGGACATTTCAAACATAGTTACCTCCTCTGAGGTTTGAAACGAGAAATTTTACTTTAAATTAACTTTCAGATGCACACAATAGTTAGCGGCACAATATGGATTTTTAATAAGATGTTCCACAATAGAGGAACCATATGTGTTGTTGCTAACTTCAGCATTGACACTTTTACTATCTTGTGTCGTACTCATTCACTATTGCAGTTAAAGGTGTTGGAAACAATTTAAGTCCGGCCCAGACAGTTCTTAATTTCAATTTAATTTGTATTCCGCCTTTATTATGGTTTTATGTTTTACTATTTATCGCAATATTTCCCTCGATTCCAGGTCTTTTGAGCGAGAGCCAATCCGGTCGGATGTGTTTGTTTTATTTCTTTTTATTTTAATCATGAAAAGTAAAATTAGCTTTACTTTTTTATTTCTATATATATATACTGGGAAGTAAAAAACAAATCTATTTCCATACCTGGTGATGTCTGTATGCACAGATGAAAGCTTGTAAAAAAATTAAAAAAAAGACCTTATGCAACTGGAATTTATAATCAGAGATCATAACATTCATCTTCAGGTTCGGGGTTAATGTACTTTATTAAATTTGTTTGCGAAGATGTATTCTCGCCATTTATATCATTAACTTCTATATCTGTTTTTTGTACGAATGATTCATGTAATGTAAATTTTACTGCACCACATAATCCATATATATATATATATGTGTGTGTGTGTGTGTGTAACTTAATCTCAGAACATTATCAATCGTCTTTAATGAAACTTATATAAAAAAGTGGTTATTGCCCAAATACACTATATATATATATATATATATATATATATATATATATATATGCAAATGTGTTTCCTGTCTTGTGCATAAGACGTCTGCTTTTTTCATCAGGAAACATATTCATATTATGTGCCTAGGTTGACTCCAAACTTTTGCTCTAATCAAACAACAAATTAAGCTCATAAACTCCTTATTTTGTGACAAATAAAATACGTTTAATGGACGCCAACCCAGGGACAGCTAGGGCCAAAAGAAAAGTGTTCCATTTTTTTATACTGCCACTTTCCATAACAACGCGACAAGTTTTAATAAAATTAATCGCTTATTCTTTAAATATTAATTCGAGTCAATTATCTGAGAATATTTTTATAATACTAGAACGTTGAAACGGGTTGAAATCCTCACAGTATTTAGAATTGTTGCAGTTTTCATTAACATTTTTGTCACGAATTACAGACTCTACGTTTCGTTAAATTTTGCAAATCAATCGATAAAACTTACAGAAAAGATATGCAAAAAAAACAATCCTGAATTTTTATTATTGTTATTTAAACCATTAATTTTCTTTTTAAATAGTGAGATTATTTTGTTTGTTAAATAATTGTAACGACTCGCTTCGCACATCACTGCCCAAGCTGTGATGACATCCAAGGTTGGCTACATAAGTGTATATACACCCGATTCGCTATGTTCACAGGCTTGTCTCAATGACCATGTTCGAATTCAAGAAATAATAACGACAAATGCTTTTCACTGATTGAGACAGAGCAAACAATACGATTTTTCGCTTAATCGGCAATGTCTTCCTCGAATTCGATAAGGAGAACTGCTGTTATCTTACTAACTTCCGACTACGGAGAAACAACCAGCCATGAGGGAGTCACCGAGATCACCGTCAGTGAACGTACTGGTCCTAATCTCTGAGACTGTTGACTCACTGACGGCTAGTTCTTCTGTCCACTGACTGCTAGTCTGCTCTCTGACTGCCTGTTCCTTCCTCTTGTCTGACTGCGTCATTATAGGAACACCGGCAGGGATCCCACGACCCCTATCCGTCAGCGTGTGTTTCGGAAAAGGAGACTACCCATTCAGCTTTTGGGTAGTCAGTTTGTCCAAGGATTATCTAAAATCGCTAACAAAATTTTATGTTTAGCCAATTCAAGAGAAAGGGTTCCTGAAAACTCCGGTTATTAAATTGGTTTAAAAGATGGACTGGAGACGAGTTTCCTAAGAAATGCTGGTAATTATATTGATTTGAAAGGAAAAAGAATCTATCTATTTATCTCCTAAGGATGTGTGAGAAATCTTATTGCTACATAATAAAACTTTTAATTTTAAAAAAATAAATAAAATTTATTGTACTAAAGTAGTAAAAAAAAAACTGTAATTTGTAACCCGTTATCAGTTTGGATTTCTCCCCCAAATTTGGTTTCGATCGGTTAGTGTATGGCTATTTTAGAGGGTGTGACGGATGGACTGACAGATTAACGGGAGTCACAGAATTTTATATATAGATTAGCGTATTTTTTAGCTCTTCAATATTTCCTCCTAAAGCCAAAGTCTTCTGATTCTTCCTACCTTACATTGTTTTTAACCTCACTAAAATATTACCCATCTATATATTGATCGCCATCACTATTTTACACTAATTATTTGGCCTGATAATTTTTAGTAAAGTGAATCACTACTTTAGTGTTCAATCCTGTCTATCTCACTTTCCATTGTTCTCTTTTTCTGTAGATTTCTTTACATAGACTGTTCATCAGTTTTTTTTTTTCTTTTTCAGATACTTTCCAGATGATTTTAATTCCAGGGGTGTCAGTAAATAATTTATCATCATCGTTATTGTGACGCCTATTTATGAAAGCTGTTCGTTAGTTTCATAGTCGTTAATCGCATAATTTTTTTCTTTATACATCTCAATTCGAAGACGCCATTTACAAGTTCTCTTCAAAAGTCAAATTATTTGCCTGTGGATAAATGCGCATGCGTAATTGTACGCCTACTTTGTCTTGTCTTCAGTTTTCTGCAGGCGTGATTTGGCTATTGCAGGATCATTTTGAAAGAAATAGGGAATAGACAGAAAGTATAGGAAAGAAGAGACAAAGATAACAAAGGGTATTAGAAGAAAGATAAAAGGATAAGATGGGTAAAATTGTAAAAATGAAGGTATTAGCTTAATTTTATTCTATTAAAAAGTATAGTCAAAGATTGTTTGAGATAAACTGAAAGATAGATAATAATAGATCTTAAAAAGGAATAAAATAGAGAGACAATGTTAATAATACAGAGATGGTACAAAAAAAGAAAGAGTGAAAGAAAGATGAGAGTAATTGTATTTTAATGAAAGTAAGAAAGAAAAAAAAGGGTTTAATAATTCTATTTTAAAAAAGAAAGAAAGAATATACAAAGAGAGTAAGAAATAACGAATAGACAAAGAAAGAAAGAAAGAAAGAAAGAAAGAAAGGGGTTAATAATTGAATTTGAAGGAAAGAAACAAACAAACCACGTGGCCAATAATTAGATGTGAAAGAAGGGAAGAGAGTGGTTAATAATTCTATTTTAAAAAAGAAAGAAAGAAAGAATAGACAGATATGGACAGTAAGAAAGAAAGAAAGAAAGAAAAAAAGAAAAGAAGAAAGAAAAAAAGAAAATGAAAACGTAAAATACTCGAGAAACCAAACCATGCAAAGAAAAAAAAGAATAAAATCTATCAATGAAATTGGAAGCAGTGACATAGAAAAAGGAAATAAACGAAGTGAAAATATCAGTTAGAAAACAAAACGAAACGGGAAAGAATAAAAATAAATAAAAAGCGATAGAAAGCGAATGAACAGACACTTTTTTTTTCCTTTAATGTCGGATGGATGTGTAAAGAGAGACTAACAACGTGAAATGGAAGGTAGTCGAGGGATTACGAACAGACGAAGCAAAGGAAACGAGAAGGAATTCAAACTGACGTCACTTCCTCCAGGTGTACCACGTAACCGGCTTTACTTTTGCTCTTATTTCCCTTGTGTAAAAGGGGGAAAAAGAATTGTTTTTGAGTGGTTAATAGTTTCGCTCCCAGCCGACACTTACGCGCCTCTCCTTTGGGGAGGACATTTAAACGAATTCGAGTCAGGCCAAGTTGAGGCCGGCTGCACGTCTTCGGGGTTCAGAACGAGGCTCTCTGAATGGCGGTTATGCAAAGCAATCAATCGTCTAACGTCTTTATCGCTGGAATTGTGACCTGCATTTAGGAAAATTGGGAAAATGGACGCTTTTACCCCACGTCTGCCCGGCTCCGATATCTAATTTCATTTTCGTCAGAGTTTACCAGTTTTTGCAGTTAAAGATAAGTTTTGTAGGAATGGTCTTTTCTGCGATAGCAACACCACTTTTCAAGGATTAGCATTAATTTAATATTTCGTAACTAATATCAGATTCTCCGAGGAATAGTTGAGAAAATGCGCAAAATTGTTCATAATGGTCGTCCTTATCAACCATCACGTCTAAATCAATATATATTCGCAACGAATTAGATTGTCCGATTTATGGTGATATATATATATATATATATATATATATATATATATATATGTGTGTATGTGTGTGCGTGTGTGATGGGTAAATTGTCGCTATATTATATTTTTAATTTCGCGCATGCGCGTTGTTTGCTTTTGATTTTTTTCAACGTCAAATTCTGTGAGAAAAAGAGCACAATTACGCAATTCACTCCCACAGAAATTTGGAAGCGGCATACCGTACTGCTTGGCATTCGCACCGGAAACTCCAACACGAACATTACAGAGTGTTTGGATGTTAATCTGACAAAAGCAGGAGAACCCAGTCATAGCTGTCAGACAATTACTGCGATCACATTACCCCTTATATTTGGACACCTAACTTCCCAGACTGCAACATCCTTGAATATTATGTTGACGCAGTTGGACGAGAGACAAACAACACTCCTTGTAACACCAAAGATGAACTGAAGGCAAGGATTATGGAAGCATTCACCAACTTAAACAAGGAGATCGTCAAGAAGAGGTGTAGTAGATTCCGAAGTTGTCTGGAAGCCGTGGTTGTAGCCTGTGGCAATTATATTGAATGCTTTTACTCTTTATTATTCTAAGTATGTCTGTGTAATTTTAGTAAATATATCTGTTAAAATGAGATGTCAGTGTCATTTTTTAAACTTATTTGAAACGATAATTTATATATATATATATATATATATATATATATATAATTATTTATTTAAAAATATGATCCCAACACGCGTGTTGGAATCATATTTTAAATAAATAATTATATTTATGCTCTACTTTTGTATCGATCACTATTTTTAAAAATAATAATAAAAATAGTAACGAGTTCTTTCCTATTTTTCTATATTTTTTTCACACACACATATATATATATATATATATATATATATATATATATATATATATATATATACAGTGGGGAAAACAAATATTCGTACACATACAAATTTTTAATTTATTGTATATCCAACTAATGAATAAACATACTTAGCATATAATTAACTGCACACAGGTGCATAATAACTAAATATGCATGGAAAAAATTGATTTAATAGAAATAAATCCAATTTATCCATTTTAATGGATGAAAAAAATATTCTTACAATACAAAAAAGAATAAATAATTTTCATTTAATACTTTGTAGAATAGCCATTATTCACTTCTACACCAACCAGCCTCTTCTTGTAGTTGCAATGATTTGCAAATTTTAGTTGGTATTCAAAAACTCCTGTTATTTAAAATATATAATACATAAATTAATGTTAAATCGAAATAATACAAATATTAAGCCTCGTTCGGGGAAGTTGACCAACCCGATTCAGTTTTTACAGTTTCTACCGGCATTTTTTGGCCAAGCCTACGGGCTCGGAAAACCCACGTAAACTCGGCCTTGTGCCACAACTTTCCCTCGTGAGGGGGGGGGCAAGTAAATATCGAATCGAGTCGAGCCGTTTCAGCTTGACGTTCGAACTCTCTGCTGCCTCTGAGCAGAGAGGAATCCGGACGAGGTTCCGCCGAAGGGTAGAGTCTCGTTCGGGGAGGTTGACCAACCCGATTCTGTTTTTATAGTTTCTACGGGCATTTTTTGGCCGAGCCTACGGACTCGGAAAACCCACGTAAAACTCCGCCTTGTGCCACATCGTTCCCTCGTGAAAGGGGGGGGAAGTAAATATCGAATAGAGTCGAGCCGATAGTAGTTCACTCCAAACCAGACTGACAGTCATACTAACACCTTCCACATCTTGTATTATTATTTCGTGTAATATACCTTCGTTATTCTACTCGTGTTCGTGTTGTTCTTTCTTGGTCCTAACCTGGACCATAACACCATTACACCACATCGAGGTGCCCCTAGTGATTTTCTAAGCATAGCTTATATGTGGCACAAGGCCGAAAGCAGGGATCTCGAACTCACTACTCAGTCGTAATTGTTCTAGCGAGACAAGCTTGATAAACATTACACCACCTCGTAGCACTCCAATGGATACCACATATAACTGGAAAGAAAAATAATAACATAAGTTGTTGATTTGTCCCAATAACCAAAACAAATATTTTAGAAGTAAGCAATACTATTAGAAAGGTCGATAACAGTTAGTGGACATGTGTAGTCTGTTTTTCTGTAAAATTGTTTAAGAAAAAGTTTATAAATTCTAAATGACTTTAACGCTAACTGTTCGGTCAATGAATACCGAATATTTCCTCATAAGGAAACGGCTATCCTCACAATTACCCGTATCATTGTAGATTCAACTAATGTATCATTATTCCATTTCAATGATAAAGTATTTCTCTTCTTGAAAGAATGCCATAGTTTCCCTTTCAAATTGGATATGGCGACTGAACAGCCGTTAAACGGACAGTACAAAATGTTGCTTATCAGCTTATCCAACACAATTATCATGAAACAAAAAGATTAATTGAATTTCCGCCCAGAAACTGCACCAGAACTTACTTTCCCTAGAGTCGTGAATATTGCAGATACGTGTTTTTTTGACGCAAGAAAGTAAGCATTCGGCTAATTACTGATAAAATATACTCGGGTTTTGCAAAACAAACACAGAAGAATTAAGTTGAAAGAATTATGAAAATCGAAAGAAGAATCAGCGAGTTTGCGATTATTGGTCATGTTATAGAAGAATAAACTTTAGGCATTGTCCGAAATGGTCTTCAAAAATTGTAGGAATTTTTTTCCGTTTGCGTATGTGTAAGTGTGTGCTCGGCAGCGAGAGTAGAATGAACAACATCCAAGCCTCCAAATAGCTATTTAACAGCTTTTATTTGTGGTTGAAAGTGAATTTTTCTTGCACCTCTCTTTCAAGTTGTGTTTCCCACTTAGCAAAGTTTTTCCCTCGAGTAGAAGTTTCGAAGAGAAAAAAATTATACGCTTGTACCCATGAAGAACGAGAAATCTTTAGTATCAAACTGCTAGGACCGGGACATGTCTTCTGCAACAAGGGTTGTGTGTACCGCTTTCGAGTAGGTGTCTCGAAGAGAGATTTCTCCACTTTTTTCCTACGATGAACAAGAAATTTGAGTGTCAAACTGCTAGGACTGGGATGTGTCTTCTGCAACAAGGGTTGTGAGTAGTTTCTTTGGTTAAGTGTCTCGAGGGGAGATTTCTCCGCTTATTCCCCCAAAGTTTTAGAAAATTCTGCTTCAGCAACTCAGCGCTGAATATGTCTGGAATGTAGTGGAAAATAGATTAGTTTCAGTTGTAATTTAGAAAAGGTTACGGAATGAGGAATAACCAAAACAGGGGTTGGAAATTAAATGGTAATCTTTCTAACATCAACTAAGTACAATACTCGCCAGCGGCGTGAAGTAGGTAAACCACTGCTAGTGATTGACTACGTAGCATATTACCCCTCCCTTACAATAGTGTCCAACGTATTTATGAGGATTGTGACATACCCATTAGTGTTCATAGGTACGGTATATAACAGTGTTATCCATCCTGACCTGGCATCTCGGTTTCAATTACTTTCACAATGGCGTAAAAATATCTTTCGTGTGCCTTTCTACAAATATTTTCATGACAATTCTTCCGCTTTGGTACGTTGAGTTCATGAAGTTAAGGGCAGTATGAAATTGGCAGCAAGGACTCATCGTTATAAAGGTGGAATAAATATAACCGAATGTTTCACGTTGATATTTTGTTTTTGTGGACTTCTCATCTCGCATAGCTTTTTTTATTTCCTGTCAATTAAAATGTACAAAAAATTTTAATGCACCATCAATAGTCATTTCTTGTTTCTTGAATCCTCTTCTTTTTATTGGTCTTTCTCCACAGTAATCCCTACACCTTAGCAGCCATATCTATCTATCTATCTATCTATCTATCTATCTATCTCTCTCTCTCTCTATATATATATATATATATATATATATATATCTGTTCATATATACCCCTACTCTTTTTAGTCGTCATGTCTCCTTGAATCCTACTCTTTTTTATTGGCCTTTCTCTTCAGTGAACCCCCTGCATAGTAACAAACTTTTCTTTCTTTCTTTCTTTTTCTTTCTTTCTTTTCATATATACCCCTATCCTTTTTAGTCGTCATGTCTCTTTGAATCCTACTCTTTTTTTATTGGCCTTTCTGCACAGTAATGTTTTCTATTTTTCTTTCACTATATTTTCTATGAACCTCAGTAAACAATTCACATCTTAGTGGTTTATCACCTTGCTTGATTAATAAAAAAACAGTTTAATCCAAAATTATTGATTATACACTCTTTGCCCTAATTAATAATTTTTCATCAATATTTTCCATTAATTATTAATCTTTGGTAAATCTTTCCTTGCCCTAGATATTTTTTACTAATTTTTCTTTTATCTCAAATTGTTTCCCTCTTTTTTCCATTGTAGTAATTATAACGTAATTATTCGAAGTTGTCCTAATTTCTGCAATGCAATTTTGACCCTATAATTAATCATTCTTGTGTCTTTCACAGAATTTTGTTGTTTTTCTTTATACACATTGAAATAATTAGCTTGCAATCGACTCGGTTGTCCAGATTTGTTCGATTGATATTAGCCTTCATTATCTGTGCGTTTCATTTTGTTGTCTTGTTTGTTTAAAGTTCTGTTGTAATTAAAAGGTAAGATTCTTGTAAGCTGGCCTAATTTCTTTGGTGCAGATTTTCCTTCACCATTAATTGAGCTGTTGAAGAATTAAGGTCTTTAAATTGTGCACTTTTTATTGATCAACTAACGTTTTAAAGTCTAAACTGTTCCCTCGGTTCATATCAGGAAATCTCAGTTTATACCTCACGATAGTCCAAGCGATATCAACCATTAACGATGATACTTTGAACTTGAAAAGATTTCCTCGTGCTAAGAACGAAATTTTATAGCCTTATAAGCACCCACTTGTCGGCTCTTTGCCTGCTGGCTCCAAAATTGTAATGCTGCCAGGGAACAGATGCAAATGTCTCAACTATCGTGTTCTCTCGTGCTTTGTTCAAATTCTATAAGATTTGGGGAAATAATTTGTATATTCAGTGTTAGGAAGAATGATTTAAACAAGGTGCGTTTTGAAATACAGAATATGAAATGGCTTTCTCGTATCTGTTGGATTAAATACACCCGACTTAAAGGTGGTTCCCCAGGATAAAGGGGATGCAGGTTCGATTTCTATCGAAAACTGCATTTCCGGTAATAAGTCTTTCGATCACCCAGGCCGGTATATATTAATTTCTCTGTTTAAAAAACATGTATATCTAGTCAAAGGCTATAATGTAAGGTTTGTATTAATAAGATATATTTTCTGTTGAAAAAATATAGTAATTGCTTAAATATATAGTTGTGTAATTGAGGGAGGGAGAAAGAGAGGATTAAGGTACATAATTCTTTTGTTATGTTCTAGTGTACATGTATATCTACAAACACGCATGCACGCGCACACACACAAACACACACACACATATATATATATATATAATTAATATGGTCATACACATACAGGCTTGTTTCGCTGTATCACAACACATCAGTGTGACTAGACATCCGGTTGCTTCAAACCGAGATCGAAACCCTACCATTTATATATATATATATATATATATATATATATATATATGTGTGTGTGTGTGTGTGTGTGTGTGTGAATTAGGAATATAGATCAAATATTGATTAGTATCCGACAGAATGATGCAATAAGGAACAAATAAGAAACATTTATAAATTTAACATGTTTCGCTTTTATTTAAATTTCATCAAAGAATAAAAAAAATTCTGAGATTTTCATTTGTGTGTATGTTTTCTTGTTTAAGTAGACCTCGGGTGTATCTGTCCTATTAAATAGCGTTCGTGTATAATCTATGTGTATCCTAATTATAGTTTGTCTATGCAGGACTCGGATGATAATGTGTATTCGTTTGTATTTGGGATGTTTTTGTGAAAGTGAATGAATTTAAGTTACTCCAGTTGTGGCCGCCGGTAAATATATATTTTTTTGTTCTTTAAGTATGAATTTTGTAGAAGTCGGTGATATAATAATGTTTCTTTGACGTGTTTTTATAGATGCTAACATATTTATCAGAATTTTCACCAAGTATTTACTACGTAATGAATAACGTTCATTTCCAAGTAGGGTAGTATATATAAAATCGAATATATTTTTTTCTGTGTGTTTTAAACATAGTTTTTGTGGTTGTAATTATTTTGATATTGATAAGATTGGATAAATTGTTTTGAATAGATGTCAAGGATTTAGTAGGCAATATTATATGCCTATTTTTATCTAATTTCTTCTTCTTGTTATTAGTATCATTATCTTTGTGATTTTTGCACAATTTGGATGTTTTCTATTATCATTGTAGGTGAAATAGTAAAGATATTGAAGGATTTAATGTTGTTTTATAAGTATATTTATTATATGTTTGTTTATATGTATATTTCTTCAGTTAAATATTGAGTCAAAGGAGAAAGTTGATTCTGTTATCTTATTTCAAGTTCAATTCAGTTGTATGTGTGCGTGTGTTTTGTGTACATTAAATGGCAAAATCATATGAAAACCACTCATTCACAACACACACATACAGACACACACACAGACACACACACACACACACATATATATATATATATATATATATATATATATATGTATGTATGTATATTATACGAACTTGAATAGACACACACAGAAACTGGCTGACGGATAGGGAAATATCTTTTTTACGTTATTGTTCACCCAATACAAATCTCAATAGACACTGAAAAAGGTGATTTACGGAACGTATTTTTATGGACATAAGTGTTGTAGATGATGAGTAGATATAGGATAGATAAGGATTGACTCTAAACTTGATGATGTTAAAATTGTAGTGGTCCAGGAAGAATCCTTTTGGGAGTTGCTGTGTCAAAACAGATAGCCTTAGGGAAAATCTGTCCGAAATGAACTTCCACCTTACCAATGGAATACGAACAGGATGTTTCAACCATTTTTACATGTCATGGCGGTTCTTTTATAATATTAAGTCCGAGTTGAGAGACATTTAGTTCAGTCATTGTTGCAAATGAAAAACAACTTTCCTTCTATTCGAGGAAAGGTTTGTTTTCACAAGCATTTGCAAAGATGGCTGCAAGACTGCAAGATGAATAAAATATCGTTTTGAAAATTGTACAAACTCACACTGTAGAAAAAGTCAAAGATATACAAATGCGATCAGGTCAACCATAACAGTTGATACCAAGATGTATACACTCTGCCTAAAGGTTTCCATGACAACAATCAAACATCAACAAGATCGACATACATGACCGATGAATGCAGATGAATCCGCTACTGAAAACGGGATAAAGAGACCCCCCCCTTAAAATTTGCGCAAAACAACAAAGATACAGACTATTTGAAACAAAGTACTATTGTCTTATGAAATAAAAAATACTCTATTTGAATCTAATGGCATCCAAAGAGTTTGGTGTTGACATGATTAAACGTATAAGGAAAAAATATTGTTTTTAATTATTTCACCCCTAGTAAGGCGAAAATGCAATAAGACTCAGCGGGTTACAGGTAGTGAAAGAGAATCAGAAAACTTTAATGAGGATAAGTTACGAAAAGGACAATAAAGGAATACGGTTCAAGAAGTCAAAAGATGGCGATGGACATTGCATTTAAATTTTCTATAATTGTATGTGTTAGGAAGCAAAAAATCTGTAGAGTTCTATAGTCAAGTAGTGGTAGGAAATAAAGTATTAAAATATATCTGACAGTTGTATCTAACCTGTTTACCCGAAAACCCGGTGAGACCTACCTGCCAACCTAGTAGAGCGCTTAATTTCGTCCAGTCGAGGCACAATTGAGAATTGCTCATTTGGTCCCAACATTTATGCTTGGTGGGAGAAAAGTTATGGTCTTGGGTTGTGTGAAAATCAATGACATAAGGGATCCTGTTTTTTTTTGGGGGGGGGTTCCTGCAAAATATGAAATAAATGTTTCCAGTACAATAAACCTAAGCTGTAGTTGAAGAATAGAGCTACAAAAAACATAACAACACGATGGTCAAATTATTTAGCATGTTAATTCAAATAACATTAGAAAAAATGAACGAATTTATCTCAATGTTAAATAAAGTTCATGCAGACATAGTTTTCAGCTCAGTCATGGCTAAAGATGAAAAAAAAACCTTCTTCGTTTATCAAGGAAATGTTTATTTGTTTCCATAAACAAAGAAAATATAGCTTCAAGACTGCAAGATGAATAAAACATCTTTGTGAAAATTGTGTAAAATCACAATGTGGAAAAGTCAAAGATATACAGAAGCGATCAGGTCATCCATAAGAGCTGATACCAGGATGTATACGCTCTGCCTGGAGTTCGGTCGGTGAAGATACGAGAAATCTGCCTGTGGATGTTGCTGAATGAAGTCTATGTAGGCCGTGAATGTTTCTACTACAACAATCTAGCGTTAACAAGGTCGTCTTGAATGACCGTTGAGTGCAAAAGAATCCGCTATTGAAATTGAGACCTCTTTAAACTTTGCACAAAAGAATAGGGGTTTAAACATTTGGGGTTAGATAGAACTAAATAAACCTTGTACATAATAGCCCCCATTTTGTTTTAAAACTAGGTGCCATAGTCGTTATAGCTAAGTCAAAAAATATTAAGTGGAAAATCTTTAAGGATTGTGGTAGAATATTACATTTTATACTACTACAGTATACTGATAGTGGAGGAAAACTATTGTTTATATAATGCTTCCGTAGTGGGTCACATGACCGGAATGCGTCCCACTCGACCCCCACGTATCACCCTGTTTGGCAAGAGGTTATGCGGAGGCCCTAAACGACGCTTCAAGGATCAGTTGAAGACATCCCTGACACAGAGCAACATCGACTTTGAGACGTGGAAAACCGTTGCTGCAAATTAGACCTCCTGGCTTTGGACTATTCGAGACGGGGAACAGCGACTTTCGAATTGAACTGTCAACATGAAGAGAATCTGTCAGGAGGTCCCGACTCGCCTAGCCGCGTACACCGCCCGCATTCCTGTGTGACTCAAGATTATTCAGGAATGGCCTGGACCTTAACAGCCATCTCCATCACCG